TCATTCTAAAATGACTAAAATCCGTATTCATCATATATGTCGATGAATTCTAAATAATAAAACTTTTCAGGATTCATCCTACGTCGCACTCAAACACGCGAATTACGCCAATCCTCTTTTATGTGAGTATTCTTCCTACATACATTTGTGTATCGTGTTCTGTGTTGTGTTTTGCTCCTGTTACTGCATGCGTTGTATTGTAAGACGGTCAGCATAAACCATGGATATGAATCAGTGTAACAGGACGCTAAAATATAACAGATGGGTACCCTCATAAATCTTATTTCGACGCCCATCAATAAAACTAAATAATGGCTCCTCTATTAAAAATCGTAGAATGGAACGCCAACGGCTTGTGCCAATGTGTTCAAGAAATACAGACACTCATACAAAAAACTTTGACTCGGACATACTCCTAATCTCAGAAACTCACTTCACTGACAGAAGCTACATAAAGGTACCAAAATATAATGTACGTGTATATAGCAGAAATCACCCTGACAATACATCTCACGGAGGCACGGCAATAATTATAAAACAATCAAACATCATGAACAAGCTAAATACAGTCTTAACAACATACAAGCAACAAGTGTCACCACAGAAGACAGCACAGGAGGACTGACAAGGGCAGCAACATATTGCCCACCCAGATATAACAATGAATACGTTGACTACACAAACTTCTTGAAGACATTAGGTAATCGATTCCTAGGAGGCGGAGACGTTAATGCCAAGAATACAGTTTGGGGTTTAAGAATTACAACAACCAAAGGCAGGGAACTACAAAAATCTATTAGAAACAATACTCGAGACTCCGTTTCAGATGGCCTTCCCAATAAATAAAACCACTCAAAGAGAGGCAGAAACTATCATACTCCATGGCATTATTTCAAAAAAGGCACCGCTACTTGACCTCATCGCCGGCAAAATACTAAAAGAATTTTCCGACAAAAGATTCAAAGTACTAACATACATCTTCAATGCAATTTTACGACTCGAATACTTCCCCTGTCAATGGAAAGTCGCGCAAATAGTCATGATTTTGAGAACAGGGAAAAGTCCAAACGATGTTGCATCGTATAGACCCATCAGTCTCCTACCGATTCTCTCCAAAAGTTTTGGAAAAAATACTGCTCAAACGATTAGTACCTGAAATCAACGATCATCAGCTCATGCCTACACATCAATTGGGCTTCAGACAACGTCACGGAACGATCGAACAAATACATCGATTAGTAAACCAAATTCATGGTGATTTTGAAAACAGGCGCTACTGCTTAGCTGTATGTGTTGATATAAGCCAAGCTTTCAATAAAGTTTGGTACATAGGCTTATTTTACAAATTTGAGTGCGCTCTTCTACATCCAATGTATTCTCTATTAAAGTCTTATCTTACCGACAGAACTTTTTAGTTAAATACGACGAAGCCTATACCGAATTATACCCTGTCTTATCTGGAGTTCCGCAGGGAAGTATCCTTGGGCCTATGCTATACTCCATATATGCGGTTGCCCTTCCAAAAACCGGACAAACAATGCTTCCCACCTATGCCGACGACACAACAATACTAGC